GAGGTGACGCCGCTGGATTTCCGCGAGGACCTGGCCGCCCCCGGGGCCGCGGTCGACATCAAGCTGGGCTTTGGGAGAGGTAAGAGCGCCCCGGGCTCCTGGCCTTCCTGCCCCAGCCCCTTGGGGATCCTGGCGCACCTACCCCCGCCTCGGCCACCTGCAGAATAGGGGGCTAAGCCCTCCCGGCCTGTCCCAGGCGCACCTGTCAGCAGGCAGAAGCCTCGGGTCAGCGTCCTCTTGTCAGAATCATGGTCACTCCGCAGAGAACCCGGTGTGGCCTATGGGGACACCACGGCCGGCCCTGGGCGCAGGCTGCTGCCCGGGCTGCTCCTCAACGTCCCACTCGGCTCCCTGCCTGTGCCTCCAGCTTCCCTAGGGAGCAGCAGCCGGGGTCTCAGGACAGGGCGGGGTCAGGCACAGGTGCCACCACCTCCCCCGTACAAATGGACAAATGCGGGACAAAATACCTTGGACATCTAGCAACAGAAGTGTTTTTAAGGGGCAGACCGAGCAGAAGAGGTGACCACTGCCACCTGGAATTGGGTGCTGGCGCCCCCAGGAATCAGGTCTTGGTCTAGACTCAAGGATGGCTGGGATCTGGGATGCCCAGAAAAAGGCACCCAGAATGGAGAGTGGATGAGGGCGTGGAAGTGGTCAGAGACAAGCAGCAAGCAGACAAGCCGCTTTTCAGCCCCATTGGTGACCCAGGGGTGCTCAGGGCTGCCTTCTGGTCTCACTGGGTTAATGTCCCAGGGTGAGAAGTACAGGGACACGGTGGGCTGAAAAAGACAAATTTTAAGGGACCCGGCTTCCAGTGTTTCATGACCTCCACAGAGGCGAGGATCCGGCCCTGATCTTGTCCGGGGTGAGGCCTTTTTGCCATCTTCCCAGGCCCCCTCCGCTCTGCTCCCAGGCATTTGGTGCCTGCTGGTCTCTGTCTCTGACAGTAAACACAGTTTATAAACAAACCGTCTCCCACCCTCCTCACATTGAGGACTTAATCCAGGAGCTGTCGCTCTGTCTGCCTCTGCTGCCGGTTCCTGGAGGCTGGGGACCCCCTAGGTGAGGAGTCTGTATGTGGGGCACTCATTCTGCACCGGGACCTTCTCCCCCTCGCCAGGCCGGCACCTGGGCTGTCCACGGGCCTTCGATGGGAGCGGGCAGGAGTTTGCACACGCCTGGCGCCTAGGTGACATTCACTTCGACGACGATGAGCACTTCACGCCTCCCACCAGTGACATGGGCATCAGCCTTCTCAAGGTCAGTGGTCCTGAGCTGCTGGTGTTGATAAGACACCAGCAGTGCTCATGGGCCGACGTCCAACAAGTCCAAGCTTTTCCCATGTAGCGTCTGCATCCTCTGAGGAGGTAAATCTGTGTCTGACGACGGCTCCCCAGTTCCACTGGTGCTCCCCTCTTCACAAGCACCGCTTCTCTCGAAACACAGGCCTGCGTCTGTTACGCAGGGATCCATCGTCCAGGCTTCACCTAGTGCCCATGGTGTGTGTCCCCTTCTAGGTGGCCGTCCATGAAATTGGCCATGTCCTGGGCTTGCCTCACACCTACAGGACGGGATCCATAATGCAACCAAATTACATCCCCCAGGAACCTGCCTTCGAGTTGGACTGGTCGGACAGGAAAGCAATTCAAAAGCTGTATGGTAAGACTGCTGGGGAGGGCACCCTGAGCTCGCGGGAGGACACTGTATTCCAGCGCACAGCAGGACCCCGCTCACTCCTCACCGGGAACCTGGGCCCAAGAGCACAACGTTGTACAACTCATGTCACCCAAGGGTAGCCGTCCTCTAGCTCCCTGATGCCATTCTCTCAGTTAAAAGTGGTTCTGCCCAGTTGACAGCCAGTCCCTCCT